CAACTAGGAACGAAAACACACTAGACTTGTTATTCACAAACAATGATGAACTAATCAGAGACATTATAATCTCAGATACTACATACTCAGACCATAAGCTCATTGAAGTGCGAACTAGCATAAATAACGGTAGTAGGTCTAAGAGACCCAACAAGTGAGTAGTATTCAATCAATTCAATTTCAACAATAAGAGGATCGACTGGGAAAAAGTAAGTGTAGACCTTGCAACCATTCAATGGGAGACAGTCTTAAGCGACAAAACTACAGGGAATAGCTCAACTGACAGCTATGATCCTCTCGCTATGAGGATCTGAAACATAATACAGGGTACAAAACACAATCGAATCTTCCCATAGTAGAAAAACAGCATGTCAAGGATTTGGGAATAATGATGTCCGACGATCTAACGTTTAGGGAGCATAACCAAGCAAATATCGTGTCGGCCAGAAATATGATCGGATGGATTACGAAAACTTTTAAATCCAGGGATCCCATCACAATAGTTGTACACTTCAAATCACTTGTGTTGTCCCGTCTTGAGTACTGCTCAGTACTCGCTTCCCCCTTCAGAGCAGGAGAGATTGCTGAAATTGAGGGAATACAGAGAACACATATGGCATGCATAGACGAGATAAAACACCTAAATTATTGGGATCGTCTCAAAGCTCTCCAAATGTACTGTGACGGGAAAGTGTTGGAGTGTAGATGTTCGGCAGTCCTCCAATGGCAGGTGTCAATGCCTGTCACATTTACAAAAAAAAAGATAGACTGCTTGCCTGTTGTCTGTGGTAAATGAGAAGGAGGAACACGTAAAACACAAAGTATGAACAATGAAACTTTAATTAATATAGAAAACAAAATATGAACAAAGACAATCCTTGGCTTATGTACAGTGCAAATGAACAAGTCAAAACACAATATAACATAAATGATTAATAGGGATGAAGTTTACTCTACAATAATATAAATATACAGTGAGAAATAATCAGGTGCTGAGAATATTGGCTATGGCTGAGACCTCCCTTAGTATACAGAGCCAGAGAGCTTAGTATGCCAGAGAGAGATGTCAACTCTTAGAGCACAAAGAATATTCTGAAGTTGATGGCTGGTACAAGCTCAGACATCGACTCAGGTAGATGGCGCTGAGGTGCAGTGTGCAGGTGTGCAGTCGGCGAGTCACCAATCAGGAGCAGGCAGGCTGGAATGGGTAGTTGGCTGGTTGATGACGAGCCGGTATGGAGGGAGTGTGGAGTTGGGGGTTTAGGGTACGTTTTGCCTCCTGGTCAAAACGTTTTGTGCTACTGGTGGACGTATCTTGAATGTAGCATCTTATACTTGTAGAATAAACGTAACTTTAGGTAGGGAAGAGCAGGCTCAATCTCTCTTGAAAGAGATTATCGTCACAGTACTCTCTAGAAAGGCGACGAGAGAGTTACAAAATAATATACACATGGAAAATACTGGAGGGCCAGGTCCCAAATCTACACAGTAAAATAACAACATACTGGAGTGAACGATATGGAAGAAAATGCAAGATTGAACCAGTGAAGAGCAGAGGTGCCATAGGCACAATCAGAGAGCACTGTATAAACATCAGAGGCCCGCGGTTGTTCAACGTCCTCCCAGCGACTATAAGAAATATTGCCGGAACAACCGTGGACATCTTCAAGAGAAAACTGGACTGTTTTCTAAGAGAAGTTCCGGATCAGCTGGGCTGTGGTGGGTATGTGGCCCTGCGAGCCGCTCCAAGCAACAGCCTGGTGGACCAAATTCTCACAAGTCGAGCCTGGCCTCGGGCCGGGCTTTGGGGAGTAGAAGAACTCCCAGAACCCCATCAAGCAGGTATCAAGCAGGCTGAAGCTTACAAGGTCTGCTTGAAGCACGTGCCTGTGAGGAGGGGCAGAAAGAGGACCACTCTAGAAAGAGAACGCAGACGACTGTACAGGAGAAGGAAAAAAATAACAGAAATGCTTCGGCAGACACAACTATCACAAGCAAGGAAAATAAACCTAAGCAGGAAGATCGAAAAAATAGAACAAACGTTGAAGCGATCATATGAGTCTGATGAAATGGAATTGAAACAGAAAGCTATACAAGAGATAAAGAAAAATACAAAATATTTTTTCACATACACAAAGTCAAAATAAAAAACCTCAACCAGTATTGGACCGTTAATTACAAATGAAGGTACGTACACAGAGGACAACAGAGAGATTAGTGAAATTCTAGAAGCCAGTATGAGGCTATGTTTAGCACACCAATAAACAACATGAAAGTTTATGACCCAGACAGCTTCTTTATGAATGACATTCAAGCTGCAGATAATATAGCGGATATTACCACAAACTCGCAAGACTTTGAAAGAGAAATTGACAATATGCCAATGCACTCAGCTCCTGGGCCTGACTCATGGAATTCAATATTCATAAAGAAATGTAAAGTACCAGTAGCGCGAGCACTCAGCGTAATATGGAGAAAGAGCCTAGATACAGGGGAGATACCAGCAGCACTTAAATTTACAGATATAGCTCCTTTGCACAAGGTGTGGGTGGGGGGTAGTAAAGCCTTGCAAAAAATTATAGGCCAGTTGCACTAACATCACACATAATTAAAGTGTTTGAAAGAGTGATTAGGAATCAAATTTCTAGTTTTATTGAAAACAATGAGTTGCACAACCTAGGACAACATGGATTTAGAGCGGGATGATCCTGTCTGTCACAGTTACTCATCCACTATGAGCAACTCATTGTTTGTCCATATCTAGTCAAGCATAAGACTAAACTGGAAAAGGTTCAAAGGTTTGCCATCAGACTAGTACCCGAGCTAAGAGGTATGAGCTACGAGGAGAGACTACGGGAATTAAACCTCACTTCGTTGGAAGACAGAAGAGTTAGGGGGGACATGATCACCACATTCAAGATCCTCAAGGGAATCGACAGGGTTGATAAAGACAGGCTGTTTAACACTAGGGGACACAGGTGGAAACTGAGTGCCCAAATGAGCCACAGAGATATTAGAAAGAACTTTTTTAGTGTCAGAGTGGTTGACAAATGGAATGCATTAGGAAGTGATGTGGTGGAGGCTGACTCCTTCACAGTTTCAAGTGTAGATATGATAGAGCCCAATAGGCTCAGGAACCTGTACACCTGTTGATTGACAGTTGAGAGGCGGGACCAAAGAGCCAGAGCTCAACCCCCGCAAGCACAACTAGGTGAGTACAACTAGGTGAGTACTATGACAAAATCACAGAAGCTCTAGAAGAAAAGCAAAATGCAGATGTTGTATACACAGACTTTGCAAAGGCGTTTGACAAATGTGAGCATGGGGTGATAGCACACAAAATGAGGTCAATGGGAATAACTGGAAAAGTAGGACGCTGGATACTCAATTTCCTGTCGAACAGAACACAAAGAGTAACAGTCAATCAAATAAAATAGAGTCCAAGCGAAGTTAAAAGCTCTGTACCTCAAGGTACAGTTCTTGCTCCGCTACTGTTCCTTATTCTCACATCAGATATAGACAAAAATACACGTCACAGCTTCGTGTCATCCTTCGCAGACGACACAAAAATCAGCATGAAAATTACCTCTGCTGAAGACATTGAAAAATTACAAGCAGATGTCAACAAAGTTTTTGATTGGGAAGCAGAAAATAACATGATGTTTAACAGTGGTGAATTTCAGGTACTCGGGTACGGCAAAAATGAGGATCTGAAACATAATACAGGGTACAAAACACAATCGAATCTTCCCATAGTAGAAAACAGCATGTCAAGGATTTGGGAATAATGATGTCCGACGATCTAATGTTTAGGAAGCATAGCCAAGCAAATATTGCGTCAGCCAGAAAAATGATAGGATGGATTACGAGAACTTTCAAATCCAGGGATCCCATCACAATGGTTGTACTCTTCAAGTCACTTGTGTTGTCCCGTCTCGAGTACTGCTCAGTACTCATTTCCCCATTCAGAGCAGGAGAGATTGCTGAAATAGAGGGAATACAGAGAACATATACGGCACGCATAGACGAGATAAAATTATTGGGATCGTCTCAAAGCTCTCCAAATGTACTCTCTAGAAAGGAGACGAGAGAGATACCAAATAATATACACGTGGAAAATACTGGGGGGCCAGGTCCCTACCCTACACAGTAAAATAACAATGTACTGGAGTGAACGATATGGAAGACAATGCAAGATTGAACCGGTGAAGAGCAGAGGTGCCATAGGCACAATCAGAGAACACTGTATAAACATCAGAGGTCCGCTGTTGTTCAACGTCCTCCCAGCGACTATAAGAAATATTGCCGGAACAACCGTGGACATCTTCAAGAGATAACTGGACTGTTTTCTAAGAGAAGTTCTGGATCAGCCGGGCTGTGGTGGGTATGTGGCCCTGAGGGCCACTCCAAGCAACAGCCTGGTGGACCAAACTATCACAAGTTGAGCCTGGCCTCAGGCCGGGCTTGGGGAGTAGAAGAACTCCCAGAACCCCATCAAGCAGGTATCAAGCAGATAACTATCACTTGCAGGAAGTGTTAAGTGCATTGATACCTCTTTAGTATTATTGTGAACTGGTTGCTCAGTGTTGGATTGAGCTATACTTGCCATTGTTTTAATTCCTCTTAATTACTTGAATTGGCCATTTAAAAAGTTCCTTGTCACAGTGGGGTACAAGATTGAGGAGTGCATGGCAGGTGAATAGTGTCCTGAGTGGTCCCTAAATGCTCTGGTTTAAGGAGCATCCCAATGACTAGGTCAGAAAGGAGTGCTGCACTACACTCAATACCGTATTTTGCCTAAATTTTCTTAGCTGAAATGTGTGCACAATCTCAGGAAACGTATTTCTGCTTAAAATCAGAGTTTGACTCTATCTGAATTTTTTCCAATGTTTTGTATGATATTTTTAGGATTTGTCATTGTAATTGTTTTGTAATTGTAATCCATTGTTGTGTTGCAAGAGAGAGATTATAACATATTAATAAATTATTGTCTTCCATAGGTGCTGTTTCTGATACTGGCATTCATAGAGAACCTTGTGCTGCTGTCCCTGGGCATCGTGGGCTTGGACAAGGTCAAATACGACAACACTTTCATCATTATCTCGGCTGTCTTGTGTGCCATAAGTTACCTCACTGGAGTCATACTTCATGCAGTGTATTACAGGTATGCAAATATAATATGTTTATATTTCCAGTGTGTTTGTTTACCAATTAGACATACATTTATCATTCTTGTCTACTACATCCTTTAACCTTCAAAGTTCACATACCATCTTAAGATGTTCTACCCATGGTGTGCATATCATCTTGAGATGTTTTAGGTACTTTACAATATTTGAAACTCGTACAGGTACACAGTGTTGTTCCCTATTCCTAGAGGCCTTGGGGGCCTCTGGTAAACATCTGCCTTCTTAAAAAGTGTCGTGATTTTGGGGACCGCTTCCTATGCTCAGGACATGGCTTTTAACAGTATAGGATGACAAAACCTTGTTTTGAAAACCAATTTTCTGTATGCATACAGATAATAAGCCATGTACAATTGAAAAGGTAGTGCCCAGTTCCCTCTTGAAACTTGGCTTCATGTAGTGAATGGCAGTGAATTAAGTTTTTCCAGAAATCTTGGCAATATTCATAGGTTAGATGCATGAAGTGGCACTGGAAAATAGTAGGTAAAGAATTCTTCATACTCGTTTTACCACAACTCCTCTATGAAATTGAAATATGTAAATGAAGTGACAGTAGTAGTTTCAGCAAGAGAAAACAGAAAAGTATCTTTAAGAAAGGAATATATATAAAGAGTACAGGATCAGTCAAATCATTGGGATAGAGTGCATGTTTTACAGACTTTGCATTAGACATTTGAGTTCAGGCAGTCTCTTACCTTTAAGAGTTTAACTTACTTTTTGACGAGGTTTATGTTTTCTAGGTGATAGACTAGTAATACTTGGGCTGCTTCTGGCTGGATGACTGGTACTGTGGCAGGAGTTATGGAGACACCATTATACCCCTTGATGATATGTCTGTGGCTTGACTTACACTGTTGTACAAATTGATAAACTGCAATACACATTTGAAATGAAAGTGATGACATTTTGATCACTCTTGGGACCCTTATCAAGTCGTGACTTCAGGAGAGTCCAGGACTGAATGAAACAATCACTTTCATTTAATTTCGTGTGTGTGTGTGTTGGGATATTTGTTTCAGTTACATTATTGCGACTTCCTTTTTTTTCTCTGCAATCCACTACATTTTTCTCAACATTCACATTGCTCTTCCAGTGACTGATGGTTGCTTTTCTTTCCTTCCTTTATTTCATTTATTTACTTGCTTTGTTCTTTGCTCTTTTATTTATTTCCTCTTTCTTTGTACAGTATACTGGTAGTATTTGACTTGTTTAAGTTCTCAGCCTTTCCTGACATTTTCATATTCCTGTGTGTTTAGCAACTGCTGCTTTAATATGGTGTGTTAATCAATCAACATGTTTGGCTTTTCAGTATTTTAAGATCCATTTCAGATGAACAAATCCACAAGGGCCGTGACGAGGATTCAAACCTACGTCCGAGAGCATCCCAGACGCTGCCTTAATTGACTGAGCTACGACATGGTATAAGAATTGCAATTCTTATACCGTGTCATAGCTCAGTCGATTAAGGCAGCATCTGGGATGCTCTTAGACGTAGGTTTGAATCCTCGTAACTGCCCTTGTAAATTTGTTCATTTGATACATCATGCTATTGTGATTTTTGTGTGTAATCCATTTCACAGTTTAATGTTGGGAAATGACTTAAATAATTTCTAAGCTCACTTACCTAAATTATAAGGGAAGGAACCTCTGCTGGATAAGCCCGACATTTGGATAAGCAGAATTATTACAGGGATGTCCAAAAATGACCACATTCAAAATTTGTTGTGCTACAACCATCATAATTCTTATTTCCACACACACTATAAATCAAAAATTTAATTTAAAAGAGAAACTTCAGCTTACTTTGTTGCAGTTTGTCTTCTTGTGTGATGCTGTAGATCTTGAAATGTGTAGTTTTTAAAATTTACACAACAAAATTTATGGTTACAGTATCTGAATTGCTGTTTGGATATGACCAATATAACCAAGATTTAGGGGGCCCTGATGGCTGACTTGGACAGCGCTCAGAATTCGTAATCCTGAGGTTCCGGGTTCGATCCCCGGTGGAGGCGGAAACAAATGGGCAGAGTTTCTTTCACCCTGATGTCCTTGTTCACCTAGCAGTAAATAGTTTGACAGCTGCTACGGGCTGCTTCCTGGGGGTGTGTAACAAAAAGAAGGCCTGATGGAGGACCGGGGACGCTAAGACCCGAAATCATCTCGAGATAACCTCAAGTCTGGCAGATGATTATCCAAACCCGATTTTGGTCAGATAACCCAAATATTCAGTTCAGCAGGCCTTTGATAACTGAACTCATACAGTATCTAGAAGATTCCAGCAAAGTGTCAAAGAATACAGATAGATTTATGGATGGTGTAATTAGTACAAGATACAAGTGCACTAAAAGTATAAAAGGGATTGATAATAAACAAAACAGTTCAAATCAGAGTTCATTATAAGGTAATATTAAATATCTCCAGAAATAAAACAATTGCCTTATTCAGGACTATTTGATATAAATGTGAACACATTGAAAACTATAGAGCTCCTCCCCCTCCTCCCCCTCACCATCCCCCTTCCCTCACCATCCTCTCCTCCTTCCCTCACCATCCTCTCCTCCTTCCCTCACCATCCTCTCCTCCTTCCCTCACCATCCTCTCCTCCTTCCCTCACCATCCTCTCTCCCTTCCCTCACCATCCTCTCCCCCTTCCTTCACCATCCTCTCCCCCTTCCTTCACCATCCTCTCCCCCTTCCTTCACCATCCTCTCCCCCTTCCTTCACCATCCTCTCCCCCTTCCTTCACCATCCTCTCCCCCTTCCTTCACCATCCTCTCCCCCTTCCTTCACCATCCTCTCCCCCTTCCTTCACCATCCTCTCCCCCTTCCCTCACCAACCTTTCCCCCTCCTCCATTTTTTTTCCCCACTCTTTTTTCCATCCCTACTCCACTCCCACCCCTTTGGTAGACATGTATGCCTGATTAGTGAAAGACACTGACAAACCAACACATCTTGAAATACAATTTTGTAGATAAATTGTTGATATATATATATATATTATTTACAATTGTCGTGGTTTCCTCAGTTGTTTCGGCCACCCGTGGGTGGATATCAATGGACCAACTGTTTCCCGAGATCCAGATGAGGGGACACTGGTCTTTGCCTATTATCGTCAGGGGCAGGTGTCCAAATGGGCCATCCACTCATGCTGCACTGTCGTTCATCATAATGAGCTCCCCACTGACAACATCTACCGCCAGGACTTACAGATCAATGGGAAAGAACGACAAGTTAAGGATTTGTAAAAAGTAGATGGGAACAGATCTTGGGTTAAGAAAGTGTGTGTTATAATTTGTTTCTCTGTGAATTTTGTGATAAATCCCATTGTTTGTATCTGAATATGTGCTATATAATTTATTTTAATTATAGTTAATTTTTAGTGAAAATAGAGAATACAAAGGAACAATGAAATATGTGACAATCTGATGTTTCTGTTCGCACAATGGCTCAGGTGGCATGCCACCTATGATAACAGAGACAGACTTAGTTCCAGTTGTGTTTGTGTGACGATGGTTACTTTGTTTAGTGAGAACAGCTAAAGGCTTTATTGAAGTCTAGTCACAAGCTCTGTGTGTGTGTGTATGAATTTGCAGTATTTTGTAAATATACTTTTATCACTAATTTTGGCCGAATGTATATATGTATGCAATTGAGAAAGCTAATATATTTGACACTGTACATATAAGGTTGCCTTAGAGGTGATTAGCAGTGTAGTTACTACGCCAGGGAGAAAGCTAGGCTACTTTTCTAAAGCCATCCCATCAAACATACAACTGAACTACAACTTTATTTTTACTAATGATACTTTGATGCAGCATTGTAACAATGTAATATTGTTAAAAAAATCCATTGTAGTTACATTGTGTGAGTGTGTATATGATGGGCTTCTTCCTCTGTCTAATCTTTTATGTTCAGTTGCCCATATATCATGACTGGTATTCCTGGCTTACTCATGTACCTTAAGTCATGAGAGCTTCTTGGAGTTGAAGCTCATTTGCAAGGATGCTTGCTTAACATCTTCCTTATTTATTGAGATTGTTATTCTACATCAATATGTGGAAAGGGGACAGCAACTTTGCAAAATAATAGTAATATATTACTTATTAAAAGTATATTATTGGGTGTAAAAAATTGTGAATTGAGTAACCAGGGACAAGATTCATCAAGCATGAACAAATCTACAAGGGTCGTGATGAGGGTTCGAAACTACATCCGGGATGATCCCAGATGCGCCTTAATTGACTGCGCCATGATATGGTCAAAAGAATTGCATCCTGGATTGCTACTTGCCTTCACAAGGATCCCACAGCTTCTCCGAAGCACAAACCGGGGTTTCACACAATTCCTCCGTGCACCCAGGCTCTATCGGTAAGATGTTCTACCTCTTCACCCGTACACTATTGTGATTTCTGTGTGTATTGAAGTAAGGGCGAAGAGGTAGAACATCTTGTTGGCAGAGCCCAGGTACATAGGGAAATTGTGTGAAAACCCCGGTTTGTGCTTCAGAGAAGGTGCGGGATCCTCGTGAGGGCAAGTAGCACTCCAGGTTGCAATTCTTTTGACCATATCGTGGCACAGCCGATTTAGGCGCGTCTGGGATCATCCCCCACATAGGTTCGAACCATCATCACGGCCCTTGTGGATTTGTTCATTTGATATATCACGTTATTGTGATTTCTGTGTGTATTCATCAAGCATATGTGCATCCACTTATAAACCCTGTACATTTTCCTCAATCATGTTGGTATTGTTTACATTTATTAAACAGATTGAGAGCCTCAAAACATCACAATCCAAGGTGGTGGTCATTATATAAACAACCTCGTAGTGCTTCAGAGCTCATGAACTGTTTAATAAATATAAACAAAGCTGCCATGCTTGAGGAATATATAGGTTTGGCAAGTGGTTGTGTAAATACTTGATGGATGTTGGCCCTACTGCTTAAATCAATACTGTGTTTGTCATTTGTGGAGTTTGTGTTTATTTATATTTTCTTCATTTTTGTATACAGTACTTCATCACTAATTATATATATTGAGAGTGAGATTATTTCTTCATCTGTGTGTGAAGTTTTCAGCCCTGCATTAGTGATATTCTTGAAAATGGCATCATTTGCAGGATGAATGCAGTTGTAACCTTAGGTCACAAACTATCAGTGTTCAGGAAAGAGGTCACATATTAATTATAGCATCAAGAACAATACAATGCCATAACACTTTTTTTTCTACTCATTCAATTTTACTAGAAATGGCAGTTCCAAATATCTATAATTTAAAATTATTAAGAGGTGCTGCACCGCAGGATTGTTGCAGCTACATGAAGCGCACACAGTGTTTGCAGCGGCATGTTGCAAAACTTTGTAATTACTGCTGCATATTACAAATGTCATGTGTATAGAAGCTATTGTAAACGTGCTTGCAGCCGTGTTGTAAGCATCATGTTTGCAGCTGTGAGTTGCAAGTGTCATGTTTGCAGCTGTGAGTTGCAAGTGTCATGTTTGCAGCTGTGAGTTGCAAGTGTCATGTTTGCAGCTGTGAGTTGCAAGTGTCATGTTTGCAGCCGTGAGTTGCAAGTGTCATGTTTGCAGCCGTGAGTTGCAAGTGTCATGTTTGCAGCCGTGAGTTGCAAGTGTCATGTTTGCAGCCGTGAGTTGCAAGTGTCATGTTTGCAGCTGTGAGTTGCAAGTGTCATGTTTGCAGCTGTGAGTTGCAAGTGTCATGTTTACACCATTGTGGTATCTGCAACATGACTATGACATGGTTGCTGTGATGCTGTCATCTCTCACCCTTGTTCCTCCTCCATCATCATCACTTACACAAGTCATTCACTACATACTGTAGCCATTTTTGCAATTGATACTATTACCGAATTACTTGTGTCAAACCCTAAATGAATTTGAATAAGATTAAGGAGATAACAGTTAGTAAATTAAACAATAGCCACTTGAGTTTTGAAGCCAATACAAATGCATCTGAGCTTGGCCGAGGCCTGGTTTATTGAACGTATTATACAGAGGAACTTTCTTGTTTTAAGAAGAAGTCTTAATTTACTCAAAATTTAGATGAGCCAGCGGGTCTGACCAGTAGTTAGTTTCTTAAATTAAAATTGAGTGTCATATAATCATCACCACACTCCTTATAACAATTTACCTTCACTGTTGTGTTGTCTGAAACAACTACAACAATTACCTTTACCATTGTGTTGTCTGAAACCACCACAACAATTACCTTTACCATTGTGTTGTCTGAAACCACCACAACAATTACCTTTACCATTGTGTTGTCTGAAACCACCACAACAATTACCTTTACCGTTGTGTTGTCACAAATCACCACCACTACTGCCACCACCTACCACTACACCACCACTCATATATACAACCACCACTCATCTTAAGTCATGATGTACAATTGTTCCTCAGTTATGAAACTTACTGATTGCCTTCATCTTTGAGGTAACATAATAGAATTTCTGTACATAATTAATTTTGTATTAATTGTACTTGACATATAATTGACTATCTGATGTACTTGTTAGGTCTGAAAATGGTTGGGTTTTATTACGCATAGGTGAAAAAATCAAAATTTTGGAGATTTAAACTCATTATGATGTGTGTGTGTGTAATTGCCTTTTTTACTTGAGTAGTTTGGCATATCTTTTATTGTTTTTTATACTGTGATGTATTGCATGTAAGAAAATGTCTTTGAGTTATTTAGGTAACAATAACAGTATATATGGGTAGAATGGATTATTATAAATACTGTACATCTCTATGTAATAAATAAGCTCTCCACACCATTTAAATTAAGAGAACTTTGTACTGGATGTAATCTAACCCTGTGTGATGAATGAACCGGACCTTGTCCAACCCTGTGTGATGAATGAACCGGACTCTTTCCAACCCCGTGTGATGAATGAACTGGACTCTTTCCAACCCTGTGTGATGAATGAACTGGACTCTTTCCAACCCTGTGTGATGAATGAACTGGACTCTTTCCAACCCCGTGTGATGAATGAACTGGACTCTTTCCAACCCCGTGTGATGAATGAACTGGACTCTTTCCAACCCTGTGTGATGAATGAACTGGACTCTTTCCAACCCTGTGTGATGAATGAACTGGACTCTTTCCAACCCTGTGTGATGAATGAACTGAACCCTGTCCAACCCTGTGTGATGAATGAACCGGACCTTGTCCAACTGTGTGATGAATGAACTGGACTCTTTCCAACCCTGTGTGATGAATGAACTGGACCCTGTCCAACCCTGTGTGATGAATGAACTGGACCTTTTCCAACCCTGTGTGATGAATGAACTGGACCTTTTCCAACCCTGTGTGATGAATGAACTGGACTCTTTCCAACCCTGTGTGATGAATGAACTGGACCCTGTCCAACCTTGTGTAGTGAGTGATATGTTAGAACTAGATTTGTGTAACCAAATATCTTTGAAGGATGTTCTTCAAATCATTTTTTTTTATTTTCAAGAAGCCACTAAAGAAATAAGTCTTAAATGAAAAAATTATAGAAAAGGTTATATAGATTTTTAAATTGTGGAAATTACAGAAATTGATTATGATTGAAATCAATATATAGTGGTTGTGCATGGGTTATCAAATGAAGACTGGAATGGGCAAAAAAGCATATTGTACCGGTATTCTCGTCAGCAATCCAATGCATATGACATTGTCGTGTGTCCTTTGCTCTCGTAATAGTATCTTGAATGATATTTTGAATTTCGTGACTTCTGCACAAAAGACTATACTAAATATTCCTCAAACCTTGGTGTATTTTTTATAATTTCTTCTTTCTGGCACTCTAAATTTTGTCATGAAGTAGATCATTATCAACCACACTTGCCAAAGGGAATTGAATATTACAGTAAAAACATTTTGTCATCTCCGAGTCCTTCATAAGACCATAATTTGGTTTAGGGTGATGAGTTCCAGGGGTTTACACACAAATGGTTCTTAGGCAGACAGCTAATGGTAAAGGTAGTTTGTGTTGCAATCTTTTTCCCATGTATGCTCAAGCCATGCACCAAATATTTTGTTCTCAGGGAGCGCCTTGTGGCTCCCTGAAGCTACTATCACTGATTGTGTGCCAAGAACTAGGTTGCATCAGCCTACCAGAGATCAGAGCTCGAAGCTGACTTTTCCCCCTCAGCGACACAAGGAGCAGTGACTTTTATTTATAGTTTTATACCACACCGGGGAAGGTACCCAGAAAGTCACCGAAACAAAAGACTACTGCTGGCTTCAATAGAGACCACAGGCTCAAGAACTACAGAAAGAACTCTCCCAACAATATTTTCAAATTATCTAAATGTCTTGAAGACTTAGCCTGTTCGCTAAATGTCGCTGGCTGTTTGCCAGCCTGTTCGCTCCACCTCCCAGACTCGTTTTGGGGAAGGGGGGATGGGACGATCTCACGGTCACCCAGCTCTCACATTCAGTTCTGTGCTGACTGTTGTAGTGTGCCTGTTCACCTCTCTCCTGCTTGGACTCATGTTTTGTTGTTGCAGCTATGTGATGTTTTGCCTTTGTGGGTGTTCCTTAGTGCTGCCCTTGCACTTCTGAACATCCCCAGGGTTCTCTTTCCCCGAGGTGTTCAGGAGTCCTCTTAGTCTTCAGTTAGGGGTCTTCCTTGCTTGTGGTGGCCCCTCACCCAGGGTGGGTTAGGCTCTTCAGATTTTCCTGCCTTTAGTTTGGTTGTGAGTGCCATTGCCACTTCTTTTCCTTATTCTCATATCAGATATACAGTAAAATAACAACATACTGGAGTGAACGATATGGAAGGAAATACAGAATAGAACCAGTGAAGGGCAGGGATGCCATAGGCACAATCAAAGAACACTTTATAAACATTAGAAGTCCATGTTTGTTCAACATACTCCCAGCAAGCATAAGAAATATTGCAGGAACAAATATAGACGTCATCAAGATAGTTTTCTTCAAGAAGTGCCCCGACTCGGAAACCCTCTGATGTATGGGAGCCGGGAGCAGGATGTAACACAGCAGGGTAATGACAATGTTCAATCACGGGGGCCTAGAGGAGGGCCACCAAAAATACAAGTGGACCTATAGCAACGCAAGTCAAACCCCCGCCAGGCAAACAAAAAAAAAAAAAAAACCGGCCGCTATGCATATATCAGACAGCCGCACAGTACTTTGCCCCCCCAGTCAGTGACGATACTTCCTCCTATCCAAGGTTAAACAAAGGCAGGAACAATCCCAAGGGCAGGCAATCACTGAGCAGCAAAAGAACCCTGCAGAGGTCATTCCAAGCGGCTTACAGAAAATAACCCTAAACCACAAGAGCAGTACTTAAGGGCACCTAAGGAAGGAGACCCTAGATACATGCAGCCCCAGTACTTCTGGAATTACTTCTGGCTCGCACACGACCACAAGGTATAGCGCTGCTCAAGGATTTTGAGCCAAAGTCGATCAACCGCCACCCAACACCACCGCCTCAGAACTGGGGTTGGGTAGTTGGCGCAGGTCTGAGACTTCTTCCCTCTCTTGGGGAGGGGGCAGTTGCGCAGACAGCGGCGCGGCGGCTGTAGTGACGTCATGCTTGTTTGCTTGGTTTCTGATTGAGGAGTTCTGCCTGCTCGTTTGACTTTCGGTTAGCAATTTTTCACCAGCTGTAGTTTTTGGGATTCCTACCTTTCTGGGTGCCTGATCTGGTAGATGGCAGATATAGACTGCTTCCAACTATACAGGGGTGTCTGTAGGCCTCCTTGTGCCTCTCTGAGGGGGCAAGGTTCTAGCATTGGTGCCCAGTAGGCTTAGAACTCCATCGAATGACTGTTGCCATGGTCTAATATATACACATCAGCCCGGTATAGCTCCAGGTCTCGTGCAGAAAATAGCGTTTCATTACATTCAATTACCATTATCAGACCATTATCAAGTTGTGTGATAGAAGAGAGTAAGGTACGGCCAAATAAATAAGGAGAGAGAGTGAGGCGAGATGCAGGCAAGAGAAGAAGGTAAGAAAAAGGTGAAAGATAAGAATAGGATGAAGGAAGAATAAGAGGAAGGTAAGAAAAAAAAAGGGAAATTCTTATGTCAGGTCACATTTGTTAAGAAGGTTGAAGCATTTGAGTATGTACTGTGAAAAGGAAGAGTCAACAGCAACAGAGCCAGGACTAAGGTTCATGTTTGGCATGTTAGGTATCAAAGCCGATTTGACAAGACAGCGTCTGTGAAGAGTAGAGGCAGGAAGATTATTTTAGAAGAAGACTAATCTATACAATTATTAGTCCCTGCCATGACAGAAGAGAGCATTGTTTGTGTCTGCAGACTAAACACTTCTTTTGTGTTTAAGTCTTGTCATTTAGTGTACGGCCAGTTTCACCAAAGTATTGGAGAGGAAAAGATAAACAGGAAATAGAGTAGACACCAGCAGCATCAGTAGCAGGAGGAGCAGTGTGAACCAGATTACTACGAAGAAAGTTAACATGGTGAAAAGCGAGCTTTACCTCAAGAGGATGAAAGGTATTAGTGAGATTTTTTAGTTCAGATGTGAAGGGAAGGCAGAGAACAGTGATAGTGTTGGAGACAGCTTTAGGATGAAAGAAATTATGTTTAGCTTGAAAATAGGCACAGTTGATAAAATATAATGGGTACCCAATGTGAAAGAAAGACTTATAAATAAAAGAACTTTCAGAATCAAGAAACTGAGGGTCACTGATGCATAGAGTATGGAGGAAGAGAGAGAGAGAGAAAAGCACTTTTCTTAACAGAAGGAGAATGGTAGAAAAAGAAGTGAATGTACATACCACTGTGCATAGGTTTGCAGTAGACAAAGAAAGAGAACCTGGACACAGAGCTGTGAACATGAACGTCAAGAACAGGAAGGAGGGAATTAGATTCCCATTCAACTTTGAAATTGATAGGAGTCAGATTGTTGAGAGGAAAGGCTTGGAAAGATTCATCTCACCATATCTGCTATCTTGCCGAGATTACTCCATACTAAAAGGTCACATCAGTCACACTTGCTCCCTGCACCTCCATGCAGGGAGCAAGTGACAATTCATCACCACCACTTGGAAAGCATCCAAAAAGTTAGTGAAGCTTCACAGATAACTGGAAGTTTTACAGTAAACAAAGCCAAACAACTGCAAACAATTCATACAGAAAAAGGGATTCACTAAAACTAGCTCGAAACTAGTTAGTAGCAAAAAAAGTACCAACATCAGGTGGCCCAGCTCCTGTCCGCAGCCAGGTTCCCAAGTTGCTGATGTTATGATGGAAGGTTCTACTAGTAGCACTTCAATCTGCCTGTCATTAGGCAAGCCCTACTGTTTCAGGCTAAGTATCAAACAGCCTTGGACTTTGTTCATCCTGCAGTGGTCATTTTCTTATTGTTGACTTCCTTTATTTTAGTATTAGCTTCACGTGCATGTTTTGTCTGGCTTGTTACATGAGCTTGGCTTTTGTTGTGCTTTGCACTGCTTTTGCTCAGGGTTTTCTTCCCTGGGTGTCCACCAATACTGCCCTTAAACAGTCACAGTTACCTTCTCTAGTATGTTTGTAAGTTCACCCCTGAGGGACTAAGCCACCAGGGTGGAGAGCCTTGCCTTGGGTTATTCACAGGTCTTTGAATCCTCTGTTTGAGCCCTTGGACGGGGGACATTTTTATTGGTTGTGTTGGAGTGCACCGAGGTTTGTTTATATGGTGCACTCAGTCACCATTTGTAGCCTGGTTGTTTTGACTGCATTTGGTGGCTGTTCTTCCAGCAAACAGTCCCAATGCCAGAAATTTCTACTTGGTTAGCTACCTTCAGGCCCCTGTAATCCTCTCTCGGGTCTCTGGCATTGTTCGTTATTGATTGGTCTGTCAAGCTTGTGCTCACCAAGTGTGAGCTTGAAGGGTGTTCGTCATCTTTGCTACATGTTAACGATCATTCTTTCTGCCTCTACCATGCTGTCTGCTGGGTTAGTGGCACCTACAACCCTGAGTTCTGTGAGCTTTGATTTTACTGAGTCTCCCCTTATTGATTAAGCTTTGGAATTGGAAGCTTTTCAGGCATCTGCTTCTTTGTGAGCTATGTTTGCTTGGGTTTGGTGGTCATGGCATATTGACTGTCTGGATGTCTCAAAATTGGCCCTGATGATCTTTAGGAATCCAGAATTGGAGGTGTTGGTGACCTCCACCTGGACTATGTCCACGCCTCCTCTTCCTTCATCTGGAGGTGTAGTTTGCACTGCTTCTGGTTTTGAAGTGTCTGAGGATTTAGGAGTCAGATCAGGGTTTAGCTCGGGGATGTACCTCGTCCTTTTCCATGGGGATCCCATCCACTTTGATGACAGAGATAGTTAACCCTTCTGGTCCCGCCAGGGTTTTCATATAGCGCCTTCACAACCCCCTCCTACTGCCCCAAATCTTCTCCTAGGGAGAATGCCCTTTTGTTGCAGGTGTTAGGCAAAGACTATATCTCTGTCCTGGAGCCTCCGTGGCAGGCTTTCACAGCTGATTGGGGGGGGGGGGGCAACTCCAGGGCCCATGGATGCCCTTCAACCGTTCATGGACTTTTGTTCCCTCTGCAAAGCTTCTTTTGCTTCAGGGAGAGAATTTTTCTTAGTCCCCCTTCTTTGGATGAGTTTGATCACTGCTAATTCTCCTCTGGTATGAGTCCAGGTCCTGTTTGGTGCCTTGGAGTCATATTTATGGAGGTTTCCATGCTCCCATATTTTGCCTTCAGTGGTTCACACAGACTTGTTTCGGTATCTCCTGCAGAACTCTGATCACTCTTCATTGATGGATCTGATCTGTTGTTGAGTACAAATCTGCCACAACTTATAGGCTGGGGTGTGAGGTTTTGGGTTCATCCTGGCTGGCTGGCAGCCTAGCCTTGGTTTCCATCACTTCTAGCCCGGTGTCTGAATCCAGGCATTTTCCCATGGCTCCACCTTTTTCAGCAGATCGGCCCGATGATGTACTGCATTTCGCTGGTTCAACTTTCTCCTCGATTCTTTGTGTTTAGAGCTTCTGATGCAGATCTAGTGCCTTTTGTATGGTGAGCAGGTAGCTGGGTTGATGGTATCTCGCCTGCATCTTTTTTTCGTGGTAGTAGTATGAAGTTGCCTGGTGCTCATTTTGCCACTATATCTGTTTTCATAATTTTTTCTTTGATTTTGGCCAGAATTATCCTGTCCTTTTTGTCTTGGTTGTTTTTCGATCTGCATCTCATGCCTCTTACTGTTCGGCATTGGCAGAGCCACTGTTGTTTGTGGTCTGCATTGACGCCACCACAGCACTGTTCTGCTAGTTGTCTTGGGCATTTTTTCATCTTCAACTGGCTCATGCTACTCCTGAGCCATCCTGGTCTCTTGACTGGGTTTTGGTCATTCTCTCCTCACCTTCAGTTTATGGTTTCCTCTTCAGCTTGTGATGTCTTTCTCAAAGCTGTGTTCTTGTTGGCTCTTACCTCTGGTTGTAAGGTTGAGGAGCCTAATGCTCTTCTTCAGAGGTGGGTGTTCTGTTCTTTTGCCTCTGGTGGGTAGTTTATTTATTTGAGTCGACAGGGTTCTGGAGGTGTCCTTTAGTGACTGATGCTTAGCTGATTCAGCCAGTGGTGCATCATTTGTTGTAATGGTCGCCTGACAGCTGGGTGGACAGCACTTCGGATTCGTAGTCCTGATGTTTCGGGTTCGATACCCGGTGGAGGCGGAGACAAATGGGCAAAATGTTTCTTTCGTCCTGATGCCCCTGTTACTTAGCAGTAAATAGGTACCTGGGAGTTAGACAGTTGCTACAGGCTGCTTTCTGGGAGGTGTGTAACAAAAAGGAGGCCTGGTCGAGGACCGTGCTGCAGGGACGCTAAGCCCCGAAATCATCTCAAGATAACCTCAAGATGACAGTGGCTCTTTGCTACTAACTACAGACCACTGGTCTACCTCAGTGGACACCTTGTTGAATGATCCTGTTTCATTAGTCCGCTGTTCAAAGGCAGGCATTTGTCATGTCGTCTGCAGTATCATTAAATCTATCTAGCCTGCAGCCTACCCTCGGGCCCATGATGTTTGCAAATACTGTATACAGGTTTGACCGTGATCTTCTCCAACGTGTCTTGGGCTGATATTCAGACTCGAGGGTTTTGGTGTTCTAATGGTTTTGGTGGCCTGATATTTAGTCAGTACACTGGGCCCCAGTCAGTCATGTGTTGCCTTGGGCCATGTTTTCCAGACTTTTTTTTTTCTTTTTTTTTTTACTCTTCTTCGTCTTAGTGCCTGCCGCCTCTCCTCTTTACTTGTAAGCTTCGTTTTTGTTGTCTGTAGTTAGCTTCAGGGAGCCACCGGGGGGGGGGGGGGGGGGGGCTCCCCAGAAACCCAGCATTAAATATAATGAAATGCCTCTTGTGGTAGAGCCCAGATTCCCTCCCCTCCCTTCCCTCCAGGTTTGTCGGTGAGTTGTTCATCAGTTCCAGAACTTAGTTGGGGAGCCAACTGTAGGCAGGAGTCAGGCAGTCAAGTGTTGGTATTCAGTATGTTGACTTATGAGCTGCTTTGAGTGAATCTTTTGTTCTGAGTAAATCTTTTGTTGGCTGTTTTATGGCTTCATTATTATTATTTTGTAAACCCACTATTTGTCTGCAAAGTTTCACTGACTTTGATTGCTTTCCCAGTGGACTGACAAATTATTACTTCCTCCCTGCATCTGTGAGAAAGGTCAGGGTTTTCTGGCTTTGGTCCCTAGTGGGCCAAACTGATCTTCGCAACTGATGGGACCTTTTAGTGTGGAGCAATCATAGCAAGATAGCTTCAGGAAGCCACTAGACCTCTACCAGAAACAGGTACAGTACTTTCATTATTCAAAGTGTTTTATTTTTTATATACATTATAAATATAACCTGAGTTCCTTTCATGTAGTCAGCCTTATATACCAGTTTCTGTCCTCATTTTAGTGCTTGAAGGCATTTGTTTATATTTTGTCTAGGTTTTATATAGTTCTTGATTAACGTAGATTGTTAAAGATTGCTATTCAACATACTTTGCATAAGTTATGTATTAATTAAGCTTTGTGTTGCAGCTTTTCATAATAATCTTCTAATTTTTTTGTATGAATTGTTAGTATGTTAGATATATATTTGGTACAATTTTTATATTTTTT